TAATCTGAGTTATCTCATGCTGGTCAGAGAAAGCAAGGATAGTTAAAATACACAGAGAAAATGCAATGATTTTGATGGAAATAAAAATTATTTTCAGAGTGTGGGAACGTGCAGTGGATGATGTCTCACAAAGATTGGGCAAAATGTATGGTCAGAGCTTGATAGGAGGGCTTTAAACTGAATCCTGTTGTGTGGGAATGAAAACCCTGAATTGAGGACTTCAGATAAAGAAAGTGGGAATATTGCTGAAACTGCTCAAAAGGAAATCAGGAATTGGCTCATAAAGTTCATGGCCTTCATTGTCTACTTGAATGCTCAGAATTTGGGAAACTGCAGATTTTTCAAAGTGTTATAAAGTTGTAATGGTGATAATTATCTGGACCTTTGTTGGAAGACAAACTTGAAGCACAGCATTTACAGGAAATGTCTTATTGTCTAACAGTTTGTTCCTTCAGAGGGTAGAGGAAAGCACGAGGATCACCTTTCCTTCATTTGATACTAATAGGTAAGGAAGAATAAACTGAAATATAGTGGAGCCATCAAAAACATTGGAAGAAAGAGACCATGTAATACTAGAGTTCTTGCCTATAAGAGGGAAAAATACAAGAGAATGATTGCTGCAAAAAAATGAGAATGAGAGAAAGATACTCCATTGGGTGTCTTCAGTTTTTTCTCAGACACTAACAGTATAGTATTTGTTTCAGTTCTACTCTTCAAAATACCACTATCATTTCCTCTAAAATAACTAAAATATCTAAAATATCCTTCCAGCATTTTTTCACTTCAGTTTCATCACTTTTATTTATTTAGTTCCATTCATTCTCATGTATGTTTTTGTTTAAATCCTGTTTCCACACTCTGAAAATAATTTTTATTTCCATCAAAATCATTGCATTCTCTCTGTGTATTTTAACTATCCTTGCTTTCTCTGACTACATACTTTTAAACTATTGTTTAGAATACACATTATATAATATCTTTCATCCTCATTTCTGTAGCAGTCATTATATGCATTTTTTTCTCATCCTCAGCCTTTTTTACTTCATCATTCCACAATGGCATTTTTCCTATAGCCATTAGCATAATTAATTCTTGACACTCTGTTCCAAGCAGATTCCACATCTTTTTTACTTACTTTACACTCATTTTGTTGGAGAATAATCTATTTTCTATTACATTTTCATTCAGAACTCATACTTCCTGAAGTTGCTTTATTTTCACTCAGTTTTTCTTAGTTCTTTTGTTCAGTCTTGATGTCCCCAAATAGTGTCCCACATCCAGAACCTTTCATCACCCTTGTATCCTTCACTAATTTTCTTAACCTTTCATAAACAGCTGTGCTTTAAATTATATTCATTCCTTTGCCATGTGTATATATATGAATAGACATAGTTAAACCACATATTTGAAAGGAAACCCAGTTTCAAAGCAGATACTCATAATTCTTATTTATTCTAGGGTTTCTGAATGATGCCATCATTTTCTGTACTCTTGTTCCCACCACTGGATAGCCCAGCTATTTTTCTGTATTGCTTTGTTCCTTCTAATCCATTAATTCTAATTCATTAATGTCACCTAACAGATTATTTTCCCATGTTTTAACCACATTAATTCAGAATATTGCATAATTCTTCAACCCCCCCCCCAATCCCTGGTTTCTTCATTATCACTGTTTACTGAGCATAACATGTAACTATCACCCAGTTTGGTTTAATAGTCAAGGTGCTAGATAGGAGTGGGAAAACCCAGGCTCTAAACCTGTCAGGCATAAAGGCCAACTGAATTACTTGACCCAGTCCACACTCTCAGTCCTAGGAAGAAGGTAGTAGAAAACAGCTTCTGAAACACATTGTCTAGAAAATTGCATGAAAGTGTCCATGTAGTCACCAGGAGTCAAAACTGACTCGAGGGTACTATTTCACAACCTATAGATTCCTACTTTCATATGCATTCACAACAACTTAGTTGACAGCAATTCATACTTTTTGAAATACATTTTAGCCTTTCTATTAATTATTAAACATATTCCTTTCCTTTCCTTGCATGTATTCATCAACTCCATTTCACAGATTCAGATCACCTTCATTCAGATCTATTACACCGTTCCCCTTTCTCTTAGTTTCAGGAACACATGCAAGGAGAGGAAAGGAATATTCCATGTGCCATGGTCTTCATTAGATGGGCCCATAGATATTGATCTCCACTGCCCATTGTGGTTTTGGTTGATGAGGCTTTTAGATAATGCTTTTTAATAAGATAGAAAATGTGCAGACAAGGTTACCACCCTTAACTATACTCATGCTACATGCACCATTCCTTGTTAGTTGTAAGGAGAGTACTGATAGTTTTGGCATATTTTGCCCAGGATACCATAAGTGCAACCAAAACCCAATTTTACCCAAGCATGCTTATATTATTCTATGAAAGATATGATACAGGTAGTTCTCACTTAACAACTGCAATTGGGACCAGCAACTCCATCGCTAAGTGATGCAGTCATTAAGTGAAATATCACATGACTGTGCCAGACTTATGATGTCAGTTCTGCTGCAGTCGTTAAGCACATCACATGACTATGACTTAGCTGGCTGTGAAGCTTGCACATGGTGATCACATGACCATGGGATGCTGTAACGGTCGTAAGTTCGAGGACCGGCTATAAAGCTACTATTTCAGCACCATTGTAAGTTTGAACAGTTGCTAAGCAGGACAGTCATTAACTAGAATTACCTGTACCTAATTTAGGGCCTACTTTGCAAGCCAACATATTGTTGCCTGTATCCCACCAACTAGGAGGCATATTCAATGGAAGATGCTAAGAATAATAAACAGAGTTTTTATTACTGACTAATGGATAATAAGAAACAGAGTTAGCAATTCCTATTTCAGTCTCCAACAAAAAAAATATGTGCTCTGCCAGGAAGTTGTAAGGGCCAGGTTTGAAGCATGAGATTGATTGAAACATTGTCAGGAATACTTTGAATGAGTTTAAAACTCTAGCACCAGATGAATTGCATCCCAGAACATCCTAGCTGATGGTCTGACTATGTACTATTTAGAATCACAAAGACTAGGTGGCATACAAATGTGATTCAGCAAGAGTCTTTGAGAAATTCTGGGGACTGGAATAGTGTCAGATTACTGGAAGAGAGCAAATGTCTGTAACTTCCAAAGGAAAAAAAGCAGTGACCAGGGAACCACAGACCAGTCAGTCTTATATAGATACCTAGGAAGAGTAGATCATAAAAAGACAAGTTATGAGTCTTAGGAAAACAATGTTGTAATTCCTAGAAGTCAGAATGGATTTGTAAGGTTAGACTGGCAAGATTTATTCTTATGTTTTGATGAGGTATCTTCCATAATAGATCGTGGGAATGCAATAGATATATATGTTGGTTTTACCAAAGCATTTGACAAAGCCAGCTAGTGGGCTGGACAGCCTGAAATTAAGTGGTTACATGGATAGTTTGAACATGATGCCCAAAGAGCGCTCATCGATGGTTTCTCATCAAATTGGAGAGAAGTAATAAATGGGGTGCCAGAAGGACCAATCCTGGGTCCTGTACTCTTCAGTATGAATGACATGGATGAAGTAGTGGAAGGAATGCTTACTGGATTGGCAGATAATACAAAATTAACTGGGATAACTAGTAACATAGAAGAGAAACAAAATTCAAAATAATTTTGATAGGTTAGGGAAATGGGCTGAAAATAACAAAGGCAAATGTTAACACAGGAAACAAAGCAAATGCAGAGTTATAGGACAGGGAATATCTGGTGTGGAAATGTTGCTTGTGAAAAAAAAATGTTGGAATACTCAGATCCTTTTCATACGTACTGCTGCCCTGTATGACCTTCCCCATCTCATATTCATGTTTTGGATTTTTCAAACCCAAATATAGAACTTTGCATTTTTTCTAGTTGAAATTCTCCTTGCTGGTTGTTCCTACTTGTCAAGATGTTTCCTATCCCGCCTATCTTTATGTTCTCCAGAAATTTGAAAATTTTATCTTCTAACCCCTCGTCCAGGTCATTTATATGTTGAATAGCACAGGGCCTACAATGGAGCTCAGTGGTACCACTGACATTTTCTCCAGCTTCACGTGGAACCATAGATGCAAGACACAGGATAATGGATTTGGGTTGTAGAAAGACACATTCTGATTGAAGGTGAGAAAAACGGTTTTCAGAGTTAAGAGCAGTTTGCCAGTGGACTCAATTACTCAGAAAGATTTTGGACTCCACTTGGATGGTTACGCTGAGGTGGAGGCCAGACTGAAATGCTTTAATTTGCAGAGCAGAGGGTTGGACCTGACGCCCTTTTCCAATTCTAGCTTCTGCGAGTGAACCGAGGGGGGCCAAATACTCTTTTTGCTAGAACCTGTGCTCCTTGATATGTGAACAGGAAGTGGAGTTTATATTTACATTTGATTTTTATGAAGTGGGAAATGATCCGGGTTATTCTTCAATTCATTGTCTTCAGGCAATGGCTCGTGATGAACATTTTTTAATTAGGCTCCAGTGTTTGTTTAGCTGGTTTGCTAAATTACGGAGAAAAGTTAGCAGTGCTGCGAAACTCTTTTTAAGGAAAGCCTTTTAGTTAAGCATTTACGTTATAACATTGGGCGCGTCACGTTAAAAGGCAGCAAAATAAACCCAAGAAAGGGAGCTGCGCGTCGGCCGGCCCGGCCCGCACGCTCCGGAGGGCCGCCGGGGAGGAGTCGCGGGGAGCCCTCTGGCCGGGAGGCGGGCCGGGCGCCGC